CTTCTAGCAAAAAGATTTCCTCCTGTGTACAGGTGCATGCCAACATTAAAGTCTTGAGTTTCGTTCGGGAGTGGAAGGCAACTCCAAAGTTTTAAGGTTTAAGGGTTTAAGTAGATGGGCATGTAAATTACTTCAGGATAGATATAATTATTTTTGTATTCGGTTTATTTATTTAAAATAAATTATTGTTTGTTCCAGTTAATTATATTTAACTATTGTTAATCATACTTTAGCAGTAATGAGGGTTTATTTTGTTTTTTATTATGGACACCAAGTTTTCTCAGCCCAAAGGCCGTCCTCACTCCTCCACTTATTCACTCTTCTATTCTTCTTCCATTCCACCACACTTTTAAATCTCGTTCTTCAATCACTAGCCTATGGATATTTATTGTATAACATACAGAGTCCGCTGCTGGAAAGAGCCAACATAGTGGGTCGAAACTTACCATTACAATAAATATAGGGCAAAGCTCATTTTCAAGTCATTGAAATCAAGTCATGAAGTCAGTCTCAAAATTATGACGTAAAAAATTGATGTAAAAACAAGTTAGCCCATTATAATATGGTATAAATAAAATTTGAGAAGAAATTGAAGTTTAGAAAAAGTATTATGGTAAGGAAAATGTTTCGAATGCTATTTTATTTACCAAACGAAACTAATTATCTTAGGCGATTTCCAATTGCAGCATAATAAACCAGACGAAGTATTAGTATTTCTTAAAACCATTTATAGGAGCGTTTAAGTGTTAAATTAGGAAAAGTTCGATTATCAGACCGTCGAACTTTAAATTTTAAGAAAAAAATGAAAATTAAAGAAATCTTTTTGTGCCGGAACTAATAACAGGTATATTAAATGTCAAAGGAGATTACCATGCATTAATCTTTCCGAACAATTTCATTATTCCCTCGGGGATTAACGATTAAAGTATTAAATAAAATGTGAACTTCTTATCAGTTTGTCTCCAGCTGCTTGTTCAATCGCATTGGTTTTGCTTTTGTGTAAAATGGTTTTGGATGCCGTGGCAGTCATTCAGATTACTGTGTTGATTGAGAACTGCCGAATTCAGTTATACGCGGCCTGAGCTCACGGACTGCCTGAAACAACATCCTGAGGGGGGGGGGGCAGTCCAGAGGAACCGGACAGATAGCAACTTCAAGAAGGCTGTGATCAGGCCGTCCAAGAGCTGTCGAGAATCTGTCGAGGTTCAGTTGATAACCGCTTCATTGCTATGCAGACCCTCAGAATTTTTTTCAATTTCAACTTCTATTGAAACTTCTCATCGACTGCGTATTGCTCAGGGTGCTAATGTGAGCGCGCACTCATTAAGGGGACGGCTTGCTGTACTTCTAATCACTACTCACGGCGGCACACCGAGCAGCTCGCTCTACTTATGTCGTGAGCACTCTGCCTGGATACAAAGTAGCATCTATCCTATGTATTCAATTCAAAACGATAGGCAGATCAACTGCTTCTTCTAATCCAATGAACCGAAAACATCGAATGACTCATGAGTAATTAAAAAAACAAAGATCTTTAATACAAATCGTTCTGCTCAAATTGAAATAAGATATGACTAATAACACTTGTCTGTAATATTTTTTTTATAAGACATACATCACCAATGACTACTGATCAACGAATTTTAATCAGTACACAATGGGCTCAGTGACTCAACCAAATTGAAGACACTTTCTGAGTTTATTTTTTATGTAACGTATTTTAGATTTTTTTAAATAACATATAATAAGTATTTTTCAAATCAACACCACTGTTCATTTTACTTTTGACATCTTACAAATACAACAATAATCCTGGAGACATTATTGACTGTAGATCAAGTGGGATAGAAGGGGAAGAAGGGGGATGCGATCATAGGTGAAAATTTACACAAATAAAAAGCTTTATATGTTTGTATGCTAACGTTTCGCCCTACGTTTGAGGTCTTCATTAGGTTACCACACACAAAAAAGCTTTTTATTTGTATGAACTTTCATCTTTTTCTCCCTCCCGGTTTTAAATAATATCGACCTAATATGTTCCTGTTTAAACCAAAACAACAGAGAATCAAATATTTCGAGATTATGTCCGAAAATATTTCAGATTTCATCGAAGTTCATCTAATAAAAAAATGATAAACAAGCTGTAAATTGATAACTAAATAAAGCGAAATTTTCTTGATTTCAGTTCTGTCACCCCTCATAACTTTGTAACTACTGACAAATGAGAAATACTGTTTCTCATATTTTTTGTAGTGAGAGGAATATTCAAAAAAATGTTTTTCTAATATTTCCTGAAAAATGGTGGAAATATTTTATTTTTAAAATAAAAATGACGCGATCTAAATGCTGAGTTCCATGGCGGACTATTCGAGCTGGATAGCTAGTTATAGACTGGGAGCTACACACCGTTTAATTTAACTGAAAGACTTATAGTTAGTAACCAATTTTAATTGTACATAAACCCCATCTGAGCTCACAACTTCGGTCTGTCGATGGAAAGCCGTTGCTTTCTATACGAAAATTTTAATTAAAGTGGTGAAATTTTTATATGGTGTAAAGAACGAGTTCCAAATATGGAGAATATGGATTTATAATTTTATATAGAATAATAATGTTTGTAAGAATCTGAAACAAGCATCCTTGCTGATTATATCAGTACTTTTGGTATTCATTAACGATGGTTTTTGACGGAGATATGAGGAAAAACATAAAATACATATGGGTAACCATCTAGCAGATGTTAAAAGGATTCCTTTATTTTATACAGTATAATAAACAATCATCAAGCTGAAAATGAAAACAACTTGTAGGCTATAATAAAAATGAACTCTGAACCACTTGGCTAAGCGACCGCAACATCACCTCCGGTGGCAATACGACCACAGTCAAGGCTGCTATTGGTAATTAGCAATTCTATAGCAACGCTATAGGTAATTACGTGCGTAAAATGCCTTCACTATCCAGTGTAATTGGGACAATTATAATATAGCAAACTGCTTTATATACTTCATCAACCGCGCTATATCGCCATGGATCAACAGGCACACAAAGAGGCAATTTCATTCCAACTATTCCTATTACTAAGAATCACGGGCGGATCTACGGGAAGAGAGGCTTTCGGGCTGAAGCCCTCCCTCCCAAATGGTAAAATATAATGTTTTATCGAAAACAATATTAAAAAATGATCTCTTAAAGTATAATTACGAATAATTATACTTTAAGAGATCATTTTACACGAATGTAATTACATTTAAAAGGTCTTTAGAAATCACTTAAACACCAGTCCATATAGGTAGTTAGTTTCTTTCTTACTTTCCAAAGTAATTATCGTTATTTTTATGAAAAAAAAAATGCTTTCAGGCTGAAGACTCCCCAAAATTAAACCCTGGATCCGCTAGTACTAAGAATTACTGTAATGAAGGTTTTGAAACAATTCTACAGTATTATAACTTGAAAATATTTTTCTTGCTAGAAATGAAATAAATATTCTTTCATAGTTAGGGATTATAACCAAATGAAATTAAAGGAAAGAATCAAGGAGAATCGAGTAGATCGATTGAAAAAATTTGGCTTTTTAAGGACATAATAACAATTATACTATCACAAAACTCCAATTGTATTTACTAGTATTTAAAATTAATTTTGAGATGTTTATTACGAATAACATATTATTTTATAAACTATAGATAAACCCTCTCTTTTATATAATGCAAGAGTTCGTAATAAAAACATTTAGAAGAGTAAAATATATAAACTCTGGCAAAATAGGATTTTGTCTAAAATCTTTATGAAATATATGTATATAAATCCAATCCAGCAACTTTTGTATTGATAGAGCTGATTGTATGCATACATATATATGTCCTTATCTTTTATGGTTATTGCTGATAAAATATTGATATCGAATTAAGTTACAAGCTATATTTAGGTAATATTTAACCTTTATGATTGTCAATTCCCGTAAAATGTGAGTGCACTTACGGTAGTGACCATTTTACACTTCTAATAAAATTTCTTTTTCGAAACATGAGTGAAATAAACCACAATCCATGGCTCGTTAAACGTATAAATTGAAAACTATTCCAAAGCTTAACAGATTCTTCAATTTTGCTGCTTATTGATCGTACTATTGATTCTAAATACAAAATCATAAAACAGGTAAGCACTTAAAATAAGGCTTGCTGCAAATTATTTTATTTCTTAGGGCAAAGTGATGAAAGAAGGGTTTTCAGTTTCGTGGGCGTCAACAAAGGCTGCAAAGATGTTAAATATAAATCTCAACTTTGTTTATCCTTAAAACAATATTTGGACACACGCTCCTTCGGTCAGTACTAATTATGTCAATAATATACTCATACTATACCTGCTCATTGCCTGGCAATCTGATAAACGAAGTCATCGAAGTAAAATAATGAGTTCAAATCCCGGTGCCCGGTGGGGCTCTAAACTGAGTTATAATTTTCCTGCCCTCTTCCCCGGCTCGAGAAAAAAAACAATATAGTTTAAAATGCAAGGAAGGAAAAAATCTATATAATCTAGGAATTCTGATTATAATAAAAATGTCGTTATACATGGCCTATTCACATTAAGGATTGCAACATTAATAATAATATTAAAATATTATAAGAGAGGCAGAAAGGAACCGAGGATAACCAGCATCCAAGAAAGCGGAATATGGCTATCGAAGATCCTGTAGGTCAAGGGATCTCTCTAGAGATGTTACACCTACCTAGGCTAGAAAATAAAACATAATAAACAATATATGTCTCTAAAAATAATAAATCACCTTGTCACTAAACCGACCATGTCCCAAACAGAGGTTTGACCCATTTACTCCCTTGAGTATATTATGGAGAGGAAGAAGCGTTAAGGTTATAGCGAGAGGATCGAAATGATATTAAGATCGGCTTAGGATATGTATAATTATGTTAAAATTTAGCTACTCATTAAGTATATTGTAGAGAGACAAGCTGTAAACCATAAAATATTTTTATTTTCAGAAAGATTCTTCGTGAAATAGAAAAACTTTATTCGACTGTCAAGAAAATGTAGCTAATAATAATTAGTTATAAAAAAAGATGAAATAACAAAGTGGTTACATTTTAATGTTTTAACTTTGTAATTTTAAACAGAAACAAAATGGAAAAACATTTTCAAGTTTTTCACTCATGGCATAACTGGTAACCTTTCGGACTATTATGCTCAAACTAGTAAATGCTGCCCATTGTCTTTGGATTTATGTTTAAAAAAAATAAAATCTGCCCTTTATGTTTAATTTTACTTTCACTTACATATACAGGGTGTTTCAGGTTTAAGAGGCCAAACTGCCAAAATTAACTAAGAACCTCAAAACAACAAAAAAAAATATATCCGCAAATGCTTTGTTTAGGAGATATTCCCAGCTAAAGATTTTAGTTGTTATGAATTATTTACGTTGTATAAAATAAATAAAACCTATTTATTTGTTCCAACTACTTTATTAAGTTTGGAACGCGATTATCTCAGCACAAAATCATCAGATTTCGATTTCTTTTTTTGGTCAAGTGGCCCAAACCGTCATCTGGTTACACGGTGGAATAGCTTTATTGTATGGTGTTGGACAACTCAATAGTTTTTACGAATCACCTATATTATAGTAAGTGATCCTAAGAGACATCAATTGGATAAGGAAACGCAAACGCAACTTGGATCGACGTTTTTTGTTTATGAAATCGCCCTGATTGCGAAAATATGGGAAGTTGATGAACTGAATGGCTGGCGATAAGAATGGCATTAATTAGCGAAGTGGAAAGGCGGAGGAATACCAAAAGTGGCAGCTACCTTACCGGCGATCAATTTGAGATAGTTGGCAACTCCCAGGGCGTCGACAGCATTGTACATTGTTATTATATCAAAAGAAAGCACGATTGTCGTCTAACTATTGTTCTACTCGGGTTAATCGCGTTACCATCTCTAGGCGGAAAAAGAAATTCCAACTGGGTGATTGGGCTGTAGAAAAAAAAAAAAAGTACGAGCTCCCTTGTACTGGTGAATCAAACAATACGTAAATCATACAAGATAATGATCCGATATAACGAAGAATTAAGGAACACTGATATACATAATGAAACGTTTTATCAGCAATTAAAGATAGGAGTTGAATCTACACACGGCTAGCTCGCTATACTAGTAAAGAAAAGACCATAGGATCGAATCCAGGCACTACTTTCCACTACTGCTGGTCCCAGCGGGAAGTTAGACCATAATACCCCCTTAATTAGTAAGGCCTAAAAGTTTGTGACTTGTATGAACAGGCTATAAAAAAAAAGAAAAAAAAATAAGATTAGAGTATGTTAGCTTGATGAGGTCTTGGCCATTTAGTCTGCCTGTCTGTCCCACGATTATTTCTTGAATGGGTGGACCAATTGTGTTGCTCTCTGTTTCTTTTTTGGTTTTGTAGGGGCTCTTCCCTCAATTTCAATTACCAAATTGGTAATATAGCCGTTGATTTGGTAATAACCGGTATACCCGAAAATGTTTTTTGCTATTGCTAAAAAAGCAATCTAACATAAATTTAATCCAAACGAAGATTCAGCAAGCAATTTTTGCACAGGACCTTGCAGGACCAAGGACTGCACAAAATCCTCTGGAAACTTTTTCATTTTTTTTTCAGATATCTTTAAAACTATATGTCTCACGGAACATTCCAGAAGTCCTTTTAAAAATTAGTTTAACCGACTCATTTTGAAAAGCACTTCATCAACATGGTATTAAAGTTTTTGTAAACTCGAAAAAACTGCTTTAAACATAATTATAACTTGAAGCCGTAGTTTTTGAATTTTAATGCAGTATCTACACAATATGTATGTATTGTATTTGTAAAATACAAAATGCATTTACCTTATTGATTTCAGTGTTTTAAATAAAGGCAATTACTGACACATTCAGTAATTTTTTGGCAATATATTGTTTGTATTAGAGTTTAATGATATTGCTTATCATTTTTGCCGAACTACTGTTTGATTGAATAGAAAAAAGATGAAAATGCTATATAAAATATTGCTATATAACAATTTCGAATCAAGCCAAGCTCTTCTTGAAAAAACTGTACCCTTCAAAATTCCTTTCACTGTCACTCTTGAACATCATTACTGGCGGGTTTCGATGAAGTAGTAAATCTTGGTATAAGAAAATGTTCAGTAGGCAAAACTGGTGGTACAGCAGGTTGTACATTTGTATAAACTCAAAAGGTATATTTTTTTTTACGAAAAGATCATTCTGCATTCACGGCACAAACATAGCAAGGTGATTTGTTGCCTTATACAATCACATCGGCACACCAGATGGAAGCCATTGGCATCCTCCTTGAGTCCTGTATCCAAGTGCTCCTACACTGGTTTTGTAATCGTAAAAAGTGATTGGGATTGTTAGTACATGACTGATATGAACATTTCAACCTCCATTAACGAAGACCGAAGAACCAAAGGATAAGTGGTAGAAATATCGCGATCCTTCTACCAAAAATCTGTATTGCCGGGAGGCAAGGGAAGAAGAAAAAATAGATAAAAACATATTTCATAAAATAAAATATAAACATAAAAAAATATTGGTAATAATTTGATTCATATAAAAGTTATGGTTTTGTCGCTTATTTTATTTATCAGCTACTTTTTTTTTTTTTTCCTTCCCTTCCTCGCCGTTACGGCTATACGGGATTTTCCCGGGCCAGGGAGTGTGAGCGGAGATTTAAAAGACTCCCTCGGCACCGGAACGCGAACTCGTGTCTGTTTTTATATCATTAATTCATATGTCAGGTTGCCGGACAACGGCGGTGCAGTGCACACGCGTTAGCCCATTCGGCCACCCCGCCCACTATTTATCCGCTACTAATAGGCAAATACCATTGAATTTTTTCAAATAAATAAGTTGTCACTAGCCATCATAAATCGTCTAAAGAAATCAAAAATTGAATGCTTCACTCGAAATTTGAGGTTTTACGTTTCACGATACGTAGAATTTGAAAATTGAATAAAAAACATTTCGTCCATCCGCCGTCCGTGGCTTTTCTCCGAGACTAATGGACCGATTTTTTTCAAATTTAGAATCAAAGTCAGAGGTCACCCGAGGTGAAAGTAAAGAAATCTGGTGCGCGTATTACACAACTTTCACATACCACTCTACTTTTAACAGAAATTAGTGTATGACAAAATTGGGCTGTTACAAAAAAGTTTTTGATTAGCAATGTTAGAGTGTATTGAATATTTTTTGCTGATTTTAATGATCTTCCACAAGCCAGTTTACATTTCTTCAGTTAATCAATGAAATCGTGCTCAAATCTTTTCTTACTCAAATCTCTATTCTCAAAATAATTAATGTAATTCAATTTTTTTAAATACCTATTTAAATATGTAAAATCGTTTCTGATATAGGTAGGAAAGCCGTGTTTGTGAGTGGACATACCAGATTTTTTAAACGTATGTTAAAATTATATGCAATAAGACATTTACGACTTCAATTATAATCTTTTTCAATCGAAAAATATGACTTTATTTATATTCAATGACGGTGGAATAATGATGATATTCTGTACAGAACAGATCTGGTGAATGATGCTTTTCGGCAAGTGTTTCGTAACTCAATGCGTCATTTTCACGCCTTCGGAAACAATATATCGTAGTAAAATGCTGATAAAGCTTTATGTAATTTCTATCAAATACTGAACCAGCAATAGAGATATACTTTAGTTTAATTAATAATACATATAATTCATAAGATGCAGTTATTAGAATTGATCCTCTCAACATTATAGGAAGCAATGTCTCCTGAGAAATTTGAAAATGAAATTAAAAAAAAAAAAGTAAAATATACACTAACTCCAGGTATTTAAAAAAAAAAATAACTACGAACCACGAAAATAAAAAACGACCTTTCTCATTATTGGTTGTTGATTCTTTTGTCGTTTAATTTTGTCCTGAATCTATATTTGACATTTCATACCCAACTGTCTTGCCACAATGTTGTTTATTATGAGCTAGAAAATACTTCTTTCAAGATGGTCGGGATTATATCTCCCTTTTCTCCTTTCTTTTTCTAACTTTACCGAATTAGCTTTTCCTCCTGATGCTAGTGGTGATGTGCCCGACAGTAAGTAACCTCGTGTCGTTAGGAACTCCAAAGTCCCTGAAATCGTCCCTCAATCACATTGATGTCTTGTGAGAATGTTCACTTCGCTTTTCATTGACGTCACCCAAATAGCCAGAAATAAATCAAAATGACTTGAAAAATGATCAAAATGACTGTGAGTCGTCAGTTCCACCAAACTTCCAACGTTCGAACTTTTCTAGCCTTTTTTCCTTGCTATATGAGCTATTGAATGTTAAAAATCCACTTGAATAATAATGCTAATAATGATTTAAATGAGTTGTTGATTCTCCCCCTCTCAAGTAAAAAAAAAAATCTTTTGTAAAAGTGTTGACAAATAAAAAATTTAAATGATATAGATCTTAAGTAATATTTAATGCATTATGGTCTTTACCGAATGGTAAAGGTGGCTATAAATGAGCTTGGTAAAGATATAAATGGGTTTGGTGAAGATATAATTGGGCTTGTTAAATAGTTGAGCTTAGTAACGAAAGAATTCTTAAAAGGTTAATATTTGCTATATGGAATGGTAAACGACCAAGAAGTAGACCGAATCAAAGGTGGGAAGATTGCATTAAAGCCGATCTGGAGGGACTGGGTTTGGACGGCGAACGGTGGAGGGAGGTGTGTCATAAGCGATTGTTGGTGTCGGCATCGAACCTTTGGGTTCCCTAAGCCTTTTATTATTATGGTCTCAATTTAGTGTCAAGTTTGAATCTAAAAATAAAGGACAATTTTTTTTTTTTTAATTCTTTGATAAATTTCTGTTTTTAATGTTCGTTATATTCTTTTGATGAATAAGTTGAAAAGTTAATAAATTTTTATGTTGACATAATAATCTGGATACACATTTATATAATTCGCTTTATCTACCTTTCAGTAATAAATTGAAGTTGCTTTGAAATGAAATAATTCGAATGAACTTTATTGTTTCCTAACTAGAGGATAAAATTGAAAGTGATCTAAAATTTTATAACATTATATACACACATTACTTAAAATAAACGTTGCCTTGCCACCGCTAATTATTAAAAAATAGCCTTCATTTACATTTGTGGTACGGCTAACATTGCAAGAACCATTAAGCAAAAATAAGTAGAAATCGCTAAAACAAAAGGAAAGAC